ATGTGAAGTGGAATTGTTTCCTGTCAGTGATAGCTTTTTTCTAGGTCCCATTTTGTTGGATTGAGCAAGTTGAAGAAAGTTGGAGTTTATCTTTAAGGTAGTATCTCTCTCTCTTTTTTTTTTGTTTTGTTACCCGGGTCCTTGAGCTTGCCAGGGAGGAGGTGGCAGAACCACTGAGCTAAATCCCTGGCCTGAAGTTAGTATCTCTTAAATGTGAAAATTTTTCATATATAAGCTTTAGTGGGGATGTTTCCCATTTAAACCTGTTGTGAAGGGGTTTTGTTGTATCAGGGATTGAATGCTGAAAAGTTTTAAGAACATTTATCTTGTCACTTTCACCCTAAGTGATACTATTTATAAATGTGATGGAAACTTAGAAATACTTTGAGTTTGTTTTACTTTTTTGTTCCTTTATTCATTGCTGATAAATTCAGGGTATGATAGTGTTCCTGAAGAGGCTTGGATTTGCATAGCTACAGTGTTTTTTTTATGGTTCTTTTTTATTTTTTATTTATGGGTGGTACTGAGGATTGAACTTGGGACCATCTGTTTGTGAGGCAGGCTGGAAAAACACTGAGCTAAAACCCGGGCCCTGCATAACTATAGTACTTCTGCTTTAAGAGTATCCTAAAAGTTTTATTTTGCTGGACATAGTGACATGAGCCTGTAATCCCAAATACTACAGAAGGCAAGAGGATAAGGTGAACCATAGTTGGGGGCTGTCCTAGGCAACATAGACCCCCATCGCAGGAAAAACTTTTTTTGGTGTAAGATCAATTTTATCAGAAAGATAAGTTATGTATAGCACTAGCATCTCTAGGAATTTTTTTCCTTCTTCATAATGAGCTACATCACTGCATTGGTTATGCTGTATCAAACATGGTATTCTTGTACGTCAGGCTTCCCAGAGTGTTTGGAGGATTGGTATGCTACTATGCTGGGCGGAGTCGGGGTCTTAAGTGTGTAGTCTAGCCTTGCTTTGAACTCACCATGAAGCTCAGGCTGGCTCCCAATTGCTGGCAGTTGTGCCTAAGCTAAGTGCTATACTTACAGATTTGCCCAATCATGCCTAATGTCCTCTGTACCTTATTCAAAGTAATGTTACAGAGGAGTAAGGCTTGGAAGGAGAAAGATGGAAAGGCACTTGGCATTGTTCGCTTCAGATTTTCATTTTGAGTTAGGTCCTTGTTAACATTACCCACAGTGGCTTTAATCTTAAAATTCTCCCCAGCCCATAAGTGCTGAGATTATAGGCATGTGCCACCACACCTAGTCTGTAACAGAAGCAGCTCATGAACTCAAGACCTTGTGCTTGGAAAGCAGGCACAGTGCCACTGAGCCAAGTCCCTGGCCCTCCTTGGGTACATTTCTGTATTGGTTTCCATGCATGGTTTGTGGCTTAGTATAGCTGAAAGCTTCAGCATTCCATGGTTTTGAGTTTGAGATAATTTCTTGACAAGGGCGCTGATCTGATTTTTAAGCCAACTGGATAAAAGGACCTTACCATTCTGATAAAAGTTCTTAAGAGTTGGTAGTAAGGTCAAGATTATTAGACAACTAATTTGCAAACTTGTGTGAACCCTGGTTCTCAATTGTTAGTATGTAGCTAGTAATGTAAACATTACAGGACCCTTCTATTCTGATGTACTATGTTTGGGATGGATCCTGACGCTCATTTCCCTAATGATGGTGATTGGAAGGCCAAAGACATACAGAACTATTGTTTTTCCTATAGCTGAGGAAGGGTTTTGTGCTAGGCGACTGTTACCAGATTCCTGGAATGGTTAATGTTTCAGAGAAACCTTGTTTTTTACGCTTTTAGAGGGGAGGGTGTAGTTAAGGCTGGTTTCAAATTCATGGTAATCCTGCCTTAGCCTCCCAAGTGTTGGGATTACAAGCATGAGCCACCACACCCACCTTGTTTTCTTACAAAGTTTAAAAACTAAATACTGGAAAGTAGTCACCATTTGGGGCAGACTTAGTGCAATTCTTTTCTTATTTATTTATTTATTTTGGTACCAGGGATTGAACTAAGGTCCTTGTGCTTGCAAGGCAGGTGGTGGAACCACTGAGCTAAATCCCCAGTTCTAGTGCAGTGCATTTTCTAAAATCAGGAAAATATTTCAGGCACAGATGATGTCTTCCCAGTCCAGCTGTTTTTTGGTAGAAATATTTTATAAATTATTTCCTGGAGAGATCAGATATTTCAAAGGTGAGTTGGACACAGAATAAGGTTTCAGAAATTAGCTTAAGTGGAAGAATTTTCTTCATAGAATTGGCTAGAAATGTCAAAAGGGTGATCAGATCTTGGTATGTTCTATATGGAATTTATATTTAAGGAAGAGGTACTATAAAGAAACCTCAGGGTTGGGTATGTAGTCTAGCTCGTGCAAGGCCCTGAGGTGTAGAACCAGCATAGAAAACCCTATCTGCCTTCACTTTGCAGTGTGGTGTCATGAGAGCCTGTGAAAATGATTGTGGCTTGAATAATTACTGGTGTAGTGCACTGTGAAACTGCGGAAAATTTATTTTCCTGTCTGCTGCTGTTGCCTAGCCTCCCAAGTGTGTGCGACCCTCCTTAGAGCAGCAAGCTGCACAGAGCCAACAAAGGACTGGACCCAGGCTGAAGAGGAATTTCATTTGCCTTTTGTGAATTCCCCATGTCTGTGTGCACATTTGTCATCACTCTTCTGCAAAAAACTTTTAAACTATTCACCTATACCTTTAATTTTCAAATTCTGCTCATCCTGTATATTTATCATACATAGGTTTAATACTTAAAAGTCATTTTAAGCTGGGCATAATGGCACATGCCTATAATCAGCATTGGGGAGGATGAGGCAGGAGAATCTGTGAGGTCAAAGCCAACCTGGGGAACACAGTTCAAAGTCTAGCCCAAACTGGAGTACTTTGAGAGACCCCTTTAAAAAAAAAAATGTTTAGGGCCAGGGATTTAGCTCAGCCGTTCGGTGGCCTACCTTGCAAGCGCAAGGACCCGATACCAAATCCCTGGTACCAAAAAAAAAAAAAAAAAAAAAAGTTTAGTTTTAAAATTCACTAAAAATCTAAGGTTAAAAACTACAGATTCTGACTTCTCCAGGTTGGGGTTCAATTTTGGATCCTTCTGCTGCCTCAGCCTTCCAGAGGCTGGATTACAGACATGAGCCACTGCCAAGCTACTTACTGCCTGTTTATCTTTAGTACCTGTAACTGTAGTGGCACAGTGAGTGTTGAGAGTTATGATCCGCACCTGTGAACCCAGCACTTCAGACGCTAAGGCCGGTGGATTGAATCACTGAAGGTTCGAGGCCAGCCTGAACTGTGTAGTAAGACTCTCCAAAAAAAAAAAAACAAAAAACAAAAAAACAAAAAAAACGTGGACTCTGGGTGAGAAGTTAATGCGTTTTCTGACATTAAGAGGACTGAGAAGCCAGGTGTGGTGTGTTCCTGTAATCCCAGCACTCACTGTGAGTTTGAGACCAGCCTGGGCTACATAGTTTCAGGGTAGTCTCAACTATATAGACCCTATCTCAAAAAACCGAAGTGGGTGGGGAAGACTGGGAGAGCCAGGTATTTAGCTCAGTGGTTCTACTGCCTGCTTCAGGAGAATCGCTGAGTTGGAGACCAGCCTGGGCTACATAGTTCCAGGTCAGTCTCTACATAGTGAGACCCTGTCTCAAAAAAAAAAAAAAAAAAAAAAAAAAGTATACAGTGGGAGCATAATCAGCCATTTTGGCTTTTTTTTTTTTTTTTTTGCTGGAACATAAAAATTGTACAGTAGTATCATTTTCCCCCTTTGGTGTTTTGTTTTGTTTTTTGAGACAGTCTCACTATATAGTTGAGACTGACCTGGAACTCACTATGTAGCTCAAGCTGGTCTCGAACTCAGCGATCCTCCTGCCTCAGCCTCCCAAGTGCTGGGACTACAGGCTTGCGCCACCACGCCCAGCGGAGGGGATTTTTAATAATTTTAGTGCATAGGGCTGGGGATTTAGCTCAGTGGTGCCGCTACCTGCCTTGCAAGCCCAAGGTCCCAGGTTCAATCCCCAGTACCAAAAAAATAAAAATAAAAAGTAATTTTAGTCCATATTAAACGTGGCTTGTTAAAGATTAACATTTTCCAAGAGAATATAAAGGTAATTCTTTGCATTCATTTCCTAGTCCCCCACTTTCCCCCATAAGAAAGAACTGGGGCTTGTATGTTCCCTTTTCAAAACAATGAACACATCCAGGACTTGCTTGCTTTTTGTGTGTGTTTGTACCAGGGATCAAACTCAGGACCTGGTGCTTGTAAGGTAGGCGTGTCGCCACTGAGCTAAATCCCCTGCCCATTTGCTTTTTTCTTAAACTCTGCTTTGCTTAGTATTATTAGAAATTTATCTTGGAGCTTGCCAACGATAGCAAAGAAGTAGTAGAAATGAATAAAAGGGGCAAAACACCAAGGGTTTTAGGATTCTTGAACCTCTTTATCTCTATGTAAAAGTCCTGATTCAAAGTTGTGTGCTTATAAGTCTGAGTACAGAGGCTTACAGATCAGTTAACATGGCCCTGAGAATTTGTCTATTTGTCAGCATCTCGATGTGACATCTGTGCATGTCTTAGTGTGATACTGTATATTTCTTTTAGTGCATATGTCTGTGTAGTCATGAAGATGTTCCTTTTAAGTGTCAGTGAGAGTGTAGTTCACATTTCCCTCGGAACATAGCCCCCCCCCACTGCCTTCCATCCTCGAAGGGCGGGCCGCTGTGGAGTCGGAACAGTGGCTTGTGTCCAATCCTGCCTCCCAGAAAGAACGAGGCAGGATTCCTGGTATAACCCACGGTGTGTCGCCGGCGCGCGCTGACAAGGCTGATGGCCACGCAAACGTGTGGCTCTGGAAGCCCGGAGGATCTTTGGAAACACGTGTTCTCTCGCGCGCCTTCTAGTGGTCTAAGAGGGCAGCGCTCACAGAACGAGAGGGCGGGGCGGCGGCAGCGGCAGCTGCAGCGGCGGAAGTGAAGTCACTTCCGGGCTGGTGTTTGTTTGGACTGGAGAAGGGAGGCGGCGGGCGAAGCGCACGTCGAGCGGGGGAGCGGCGCTGCCTGTGGAGATCCGCGGAGGCCGACAGGACTCGCTGGCTGCCGTCCCCGCTGCCGTGCACTGGGTGAGGGGTCCCCTCGGGCGGAGTTGCGAGAAGGGTTCGGCGTGCCCAAGGTGGAGGGCAGCACCTCGGCGACGGCTAAGAGGCCTAAAACGCACTCCGGGTTGCTGGCCATTAGGCCTTTTATGGCCTCCGTTGTTTCATACCTATTTTTTAGCCGCATCTGAATAGTGAGCTTGGGCCAGCTTGGCTCTTTTCTTCTCTGAGACGTGGCCGTCGCTTTTTTCTCATTGTCATTTTTTATTTAGACCTCGCGGCTCTCTATCCGGGTCTTCGGTGGCGCGCGTGGATTGCCGGGATAGTACTTTCTCGCGTTCCTCAATCTCGAGTTCCCCCCTTCACACCCGGCGGCTACACTTTCCCCTGCCCCCACTACCACCGCGGCAACAAAGCTCATTGTTTCTACAGACTTTACGCCTGCGCGTCGCCACGCGCAGTCCCTAATGGTTGCGCGTGCGCGCTCGTCGAGGTTAGGGTGGGGGGAGAGGGAGGGGCGAAGGGGCTGGAGGGCCGACGGTGTCCTAGGGAAGCGCTTGCTTCCTTCCACGGGCCTGTATAGTACCTTGCTGATCTTCTTTCTCCAATTTCTTTGCCATCCGTTTTCCTTAATTTTATAATTCTGTTGTGTCTCATCCTCCAGATGGGAAGACCTATATCTAAGGGTACTGGGAACCTTTAGTCCAGGAGAGATCTGAACGAGTTGTATTTAAGAGCCCATTCAGTTCATATTCCTTGACTCTGGTCTTTTAATAGTATGCGCTTATTCTCCCTCCCTACCACCATGGGCAGGGAGGCTTGTGGCAAAGTTAACATTTTCCAAAACGTGTCGCTGGCCAGCCGAGGATATTTTCAGACTTCTAAAAGGTGCCTTACCTGCATTCTTTTGTTGTTGTCTTGAACGCTTTTCCTTTATTTTACAGCCTGATATTCACAGAAACCTCAAACTCTAGAAAAAATTGGCTTCTGATCCCTTGGGAGAAGATCTAACAGATCTGACAGCCTTTGGCAGTTCATTTCAGCAGAAATCAAATTCCCTGTTTTGCACGTGTTGGCTAGTCTTGTACTGTGGTGTCATCGTTTTTAAAATTTCATTTGAACAGTTGGTCCGTTGAGTAATATGATTTTGTTTTGTTTTGTATCGGGGATTGAACTCAGATCCTTGCACTTGCAAGGCAGGTGACGGAACCACTGAGTTAGATCCCCAGCTCTGTGACCTTTTTTTAAGTAATCTGAAATTTCATCTGGTATAGGTTATGCAAATTGGAAAAGGGTCTCAAGGATTTTTAAGACTCGCAGTATCAACTGTTTTGTGGTTCTGTTTCTCATTTATGAAAAACAGGTTGTTTGGGACAAATTAGTGTATTCATGTTTCTTGTTAATTGTGAACTTGAACAAACCTAATTCTTAAAATAAGTTTAACAAATAAAGATAGGTAACCCCCAAAATTAATGGCTTGTTTATGTTTCTTGGGGAGAGGGAATGGAGAGTCACTGTAATGATTAAAGGGCACCCAAATTGAAGTAGGTAATTTCCACCCTCTTTTGGACAGAGTAAGTTTTATTTTTATTTTATTTATTTATTTTTGGTACTGGGGATCCAACTTGGGTCCTTGCGCATGCAAGGCAGGTGGCAGATCCACTGAGCTAAATCCCTGGCCCTGGACAGTAAATTTTACAGCAGACTTCCTGAATAAGCAGTAAGCCTATGACTCTTAAGAGAGTGATGATCCAGTTTAATGAACGTTTAGAAAATGTCCATTGTTCGCAGAGCAATTTAATAAGCATTGTAGAAGATTAAAGAAAGTAATCTGCCTACCATGTCGGCACATACCTGTAACCTCATTTACTTGGAAGGCTGAGGCAGTATCACAATTTAAAAGAGGGAGAATGGGTCAGGGATTTAGCTCAGCGGTTCGGTGGCCTGCCTTGCAAGCGCAAGGACCCAAGTTCAATACCCGGTAGCAAAAAAAAAATAAAATAAAATAAAATAAAATAAAAGAGGGAGGAGGGTGGCTCCATGGGAGATCACTTCCCTAGTAAGGATGAGGTTTTTGGTTCATTCTGCAATACTGGAAAAGGAAAAATGGAGTAACCTTGTGGTAATCTTAACATTTTGTAGAGTTGCCTTTTTTTTTCTTTTTATAATTTACAAACTTTATATTTGTTATCGTGACAACTTTTGAAGCAGACATTCCAAGTTTAAACCTATTCATTCTGAAATTGAGGAAATAGAAGGTTAAGAGATTAATTTTCAACATCTCTAGGAGGTAGACACTACTATAAAAATGAAGGTAAGGGCCAGGGATTTAGCTCAGTGGTTCTGTTGCCTGCTTAGCAAGCGCAAGGACCCGAGTTTGATCCCTGGTACCAAAAAAAGAGAAGGTAACAAATGAGGTGAAGTTACTTGCCTAATGTCACACAGCTAGTAAGTGTTGTAATTAAAATCCAAGTAATTCAGAGTATGTCCTCTTAACCATTATACTGTACTGCATGTGAAATGCCAGGAATCCAGTAAGTGAATAGTGACTTAGTTGGGGTTTTAACCTACTTGTGGGTTTTTTTTGTTTTTTGTTTTTGAGACAAGGTCTCACCATGTAGTTCATGTTCGCCCTGAATTCATTTTGTAGTTCAGGTTGGCCTCAAGCTTGCAGTGATCCTTCTACCTCAGCCTCCCAAGTGCTGGAATTACAGGCATATGTACCACCATGCCCAGCCTCCTACTTTGTGGGTATTTGAGATAGGGTCTTGCTATGGAGCTGAGGTTGGCTGTAAGTTTGAGGCCAGCCTCAGCTCCTCAAACTTACAGCCACCCTCTTATTTCAGCCTCCGGAGTGCTGGGATTACAGTTGTGCCAAGATTCAGTTCTAATGACATTTGTTTTTCTTAATTAACTAATTTCTCACAATACTTTTTTTGGGGGGGTTACTTGGGGATTGAACTCGGGTCCTTGTGCTTCACAATACATTTTTATCCAGTAAAGTAGGCACTAACCCAACCACATGTGGGTATTGAGCACTTGACATAATAGCCACATATGATGCACACCTATAACCCCACCTGTTTGAAAGCCTGAGCCAGAAGGATAAAAAATTCAGTCCCACGGCCAGGGATTTAGCTCAGCGGTTCTCCCACCTGCCTCGCAAGCACAAGGACCCAAGTTCGATCCCCAGTACAAAAAAAAGAAAAAGAAAAGGTGATGTCTGTGAAGACAGTTCAATGAAAGAAACAGAAAAGAACTGTATTTGATTTTTTTGGTATCAGTGATCAAACTCGAAGACCTTGCACTTGCAAAGCAAGTGCTGCACCACTGAGTTAAATCCCAGCCCTATATTTGAATTTTAATGGGAATTATTTTGGGGGGGGTTGAGACTGACCTGGAACTCATTATGTATCCCAGGCTGGTATTGAACTCACAGCAATTCTCCTGCCTCAGCCTCCCATGTGCTGGGATTATAGGCATGTGCCACCACCCAGGCCTTTTAGTGGGAATTCTTAAGAGACAAAGCTGAGAAGATTATCCCATGTTTTTAAAAAATTTGCTTGATAATATAAAAGGACACCGCTGGAAGCCAGTACCTCATTGAGGTATTTCAGAAGACAAAAACACAGCTGAAGGAATAATTTCCTAAAGTATTGAGTTTGTAAGTTGAAAGCGTTTACTGAGTTCCAGGAAACATTAATAAGAAAAAATTGTTCTTAACCAAAATCTGGTGAAGTTTATAAATTTTTATTGTTAAAACATCTTAGGGCTGGGTATTTAGTTTAGTGGTTCATTGGCCTGCCTTGCAAGTGCAAGGACCCAAGTTCGATCCCCGGTACCACCAGAAAAAAAAAAAAATCTTAGTTGTCATCTGGATTTTTTTGGAAGGGAGTGAAACAGGGTCTCACTGTGTAGTTGAGACTGACCTGGAACTCATGTAGCCCAGGCTGGTCTCGAACTCACAGCGATCCTCCTGCCTCAGCCTCCCGAGTGCTGGGATTACAGGTGTGCACCACCATGCCCTGGCCTGTTTTTATTTTGTAGTGCTTAAAGACTAGCTTGGGGCCTTGCACATGAGAACCAAGTGCTACATCCCTAAGCCCTTAGCTTTTTTTTTTTTTTTTTTTTAATTCTTTAGTTTAGATTTTTAAAAAACTAGTACATTTGTTTGTGCTGGGCATGGTTGCACACACCTGTAATCCCAGCACTTGGGTGTCTGAAGAAGGAGAATTGCCCTATGTTCAAGGCTGGCCTGGACTACATAGGGAGACCCTAACTCAAAAGAAATAAAATAACAAAATAGGTGTAGGGATGTAGCTCAGAGCAAAACTCTTGGTTCAATCCCTAATACAAAAGCGGGGAAAATTGTATTTATCAGTTGATGAGCATTTGGGTTGTATCCTCTTTTTGGTTATTGAGAATAATACACCTTTAGGCCAGGCGTGGTGGAGCATGCCTATAATCCCAGCACTCGGGAGGCTGAGGCAGGAGGATTGCTGTGAGTTCGAGACCTGCCTGGACTACATAGTGAGTTCCAGGTCAGTCTCAACTACATAGTGAGACCCTGTCTCAAAAAAGGAAAAAAAAAAGAATAATGCAGCTTTGAAATTTGTCTACAAGTGACTATATGAACATGTTTTTAGTATACTATATTTGTATTAGTGCTGGTTAATTTTAATAAGGTTTCTCCATAGTATTTTTATAATGCAGATGACATTGTGATGATGTTATCCATAACCCCATTACCTATCTTACACTTCCCAGACCTTACTCTCCTTTCTCTCCTCACCACCTTGGATGGATGGATGGATTGTTCCACATATAGGGGAAACATGAAATACTTGACTTTCTGAGTCTAGCCCCAGGTTGACCTGGACTTGTCTTTGTGATTTTTTTCTTTTCTTCTATTTTTGTGGGGGTGGTGTGCTGGAGATTGAACTCAGGACATTGCACTTTCCAGGCAGGCAGCAAAACCACTGAGCTACATCCCTGTCCCCCAACCCAGTTGACCTGGAACTCCATCCTCCTGCCTCAGCCTCCTCAGTGCTGAGATTACAGTCATGCAATCACCACACTGAGCTGTAAATATGTTTTCATTTCTCAGGTATATATTCATAGGAATGAAATTGCTAGGCCTTATGTATCTCCTTGTTTAACCCATTGAATTGCCAGCTTGTTTTCCAAAGCAGCTGTACCATTTTGCTTTCCCACTAACAGTTCATAAGGGTTCATTTTCTCCGCATCCTCACTAACATTTGTTCTCCCCCCCCATGTCTTGTTGCTGTCTTTTTGATTATACCCATCCTAGTGAGTATGAACTGACTTTTCATTGTAGTTTTGATTTGCATTTCCATGGTAGCTAAAGGTGTTAAATATTTTTTTTGTGCACTTAGTTGGCCATTTGTATGTCTTTTAGGTAATTGTTCACATCCCTTACCAATTTTAAGTTGGGATATTTATCTTTTTATTAGCGGTTCTTTATATACTAAATCCAAGTCCTTCATCAGATGCATTATTTGCTTCTCAGTTGTTTGTGGGGGTTTTTTGTTTTTTGTTTTTTTTGTTGTTGTTGTTGTTGTTTTTTTTTTTTTTTTTTTTTTTTTTTTTTTTTGGTTTTTGGTTTTTGGCAGTACTGGAGATTGAACCCAGGAGCTTTTCCCCAAACTACGTGACCCAGCCCTTTTTTGTTTTAGTTTTTTTGTTTTGAGACCAAGTCTCAGTAAATTGCCCAGAACAAACTTGGAACTTGCAGTCCTCCTACCTCAAGCCTTGCAGAATGCTGGGATTACAGGAATTTGTCACCACACTTAGCTTCTCAGTTTCTTTTATATTCTTCCAGAGGTTCTGTGCGTTTATTAACCAAATGCACACCCACCTACCTAATTAACATAATAACCTGACTAATCATGACAAGAATTTAAAGGTTGTTAAAGATAATACTAGATTTTAAAGTACCAAGCCTGTTCAATTTTACTTTTATTTTCTGTCAGGGATCCTGATTCTTCCCCAGCCCCTGGCCGCCAGCACCCAGAGCTTGAACTCAGAATCTTGTGCTTATGAGGCAGGCATGGAGCCACTGAACTAAATCCCCAGCCTCCCACAATTCGTATAACTCAAATTATCCCCAAATTTAAGGATGGAACATTTTCCCTTTTGCTTGTTTTCCAGCTGTTTTCTGTAGGTCTAGCAGTCTGGATTTGCAAGGGTTTTTTGGTTTGGGTTTTTTAGTACTGAGGATTGAACCTGGGGTGCTCTACTGCTATACTATATACCTTTTTGCATTGTATTCCCCCTGCCATATAGTGGTACTACAGTACCACTTTGTTTTGTTTTTTCCCTTTGGTACCAGTGATCAAACTCAGGACCTTGTACCTGCGAGGCAGGCACAGTGCCACTGAGCTAAATCTCTGTGCCTGCACTATGTATTTTTTTGAGACAGGATCTCACTATGTTGTCCAGGCTGGCTTTTAATTCCCAATCTTCTAGGTTTTCCATTAATTCTTCACTTGCTTACAAACCATTACATTTTAGCTGGGCAAAGTGGAGCCCCTGTAGTCTCAGTTAATGTAGAAGCCTGAAGCAGAATGATCTTGTGAACCTAGGCAACATAGTAAGTCCTCACCTCTTTTTCTATTTATAATTTTCATATATTTACAAGTTTTATTAAGCTCTTTTTAAATCTACTATGTACTTTTTTATTTTTCTGCAGCTCTCTGAAGGTATTTTCAAGCATGACACAATTCTTATCTGTTCCACATAATTTCAGTATTTCAAGTCTGTGTGGGTCTTTGAATTTCTGTAAATTGTGCTGCATTTTGCTCATTATGCCTTGTCTTTTTCCTTCTGGATTTTACCTTTGTGTACTATTCATTCTTCTTGAAAATTTTTTGTGCATGCCCATAAGGCTAGAACTAAAGTGCTTTTTTCCTAAGGAGGGTCCCCCTGTACCCCCAATACCACCACCAACCATCCACATCCCCCTGTTCTGAGGATTGAACCCAAGGTTTCATAGTGAGTTACATCACCAGCCCCAGTAATTAAAATTCCTTTTTAATTTTCTTTTCTTTTTTTTTTTTTTTTTTTTGTTATTTTTTTTTTTTTTTTTGGTACCGGGGATTGAATTTGGATCCTTGCACTTTCATGGAAGGTGGTGGAACCACTTAGCTAAATCCCCAGCCCTACTTTTTAATTTTAAGATAGGGTCTCACTTAAGTTCAGGCTGGGATTGAATTTGTGATCATTTTCTTCCCTTAGCCTCTTAAATAGTACTAGAACCCCAGGGCTTCATTCCTTCTTGGGTTTTCTTCTCTTTTCTTCTTTTTCTATTTTCCCCCTTCTCTTTTCTTTTAGTTGCTAGGAGTTGAACCTAACTACGTGTACTAAGCACACCCTCTACCAATTTTTTTTTCCTGGTTGGTCAGTTGATTTTTTTGGTACGTGGGGGGGGGGATTGAATCCAGGACCTTCAGCAATGTATCTCCAGTCCCCTCCCATTTTTTTATTGGACAGGTTTTTTTTTTTTGGTACCAGGGATCGAACATGGGTCCTTGCACTTGCAAGACAGGCGGCAGAAACACTGAGCTAAATCCTTGGCCCTGGACAGGGTCTTGCTAGGTTGTTATGTACCCCAGACTGGGCTTGAATTAATTTTATTATTTATTTTGGTATTGGGGATTGAATTTAGGACCTTGCATTTGCAAGGCAGGCTCAGTGCCACTGAGCTAATTTCCTGGCCTTAGGCTTGGATTTATAATTTCCTACTTCAGCTTCCCAGAGTGTTAAGATTTAAAGGTAACCACTACCCTTCCTGGCTGAAACCAAATTTTTTTTTTTTTTTTTTTTTTTTTTTTTTTGAGACAAGGTCTTATTTAGGCTGACCTTGAACTCAGGTGAGCCCTCCTGTCTCAGCTTCCTGAATTTTGGAATTGCAGCCTTGCACCACCACACCTGGACAGCCATCGGTTCTTTTGATGAGGTGCTAGAGGGTATAAAGCTGACATAGGCCTTTTCAAATGTGGGGATTGTTCCCTATTCAGACACCTACTGTTGAATTTTGTTTGTCCTGGTAAACATCCAACAGAGCAGGAATCCTGTTGATTCTCAGTTTTCTGAGGCAGATTTTCATTGTTAGCACAAGGTTATGCCTGTATAAGTCTCACTAAGTTGCCCAGGCTATCCTTGAATTTAAGTCCTGACCCTCAAGTTTCTGGAATTATAAACATTTGCCACCATGCTTCCCCCCACCTAGCATTTTTAAAGCAGGTTTGAAGTATTTGGGGGTTTTTTGTTGTTGTTGCTGTTTTCTGGGTTTTCTTTTTTTGGGGGGGTACCAGGGATTGAACTCGGAACCTTGCTCTTGCAAGGCAGGTGTCGAAACCACTGACCTAAGTCCCCCAGCCCCTCTGACTCTTTTTATACACATGTATCCTAGGGCGGAAGTTTCCAGTAATATTTAGTTGAAGACCTTGTTCACTAAAATTTTCACCACCATACTATTGTCATTAGTATTCAGTATTTGAGAAAGTACCTGTGAGTGCTAGAGACTAAATTCATATTACATAAATAGCCATGTATTTGTGTTACACTCATGTTCTCCTTTTTCAGTTTTTTGATTTTGTGGTTTTGTGGTTTTTTGTTTTTGTTTTTTTTTGGGGGGGGTACTGAGGATCTAACTCGGGACTTTGCACTTGCCAGGCAGGCTGCAGAATCACTGAGCTAAATCCCTAGCCCAGAGCAGTACCTTTTGACTGAGTACTTACTATTAAAAGTGTGTTTGTACTGAAGGCAAGAACTTAAAGGGAGAGGAGGGGAAAATAAGAGCCAAGTGTATTTGCACTTTCATTTTCTGGACTTAAGAAAGCAGTTTTAAAATAATTTGCTTTTCATCGCTTCACTTGATGACTTAAAGTCTTCAGAGCATGCTTGATTTGTAAAACAAAAGTATCCAACAGGCATGGTAGCAGGTGCCTGTACTTGTAACCCCAGCTAGGGAGGCTGAGACTGGAGGATAACAAGTTCAAGTCCAGGGCTGGGGATTTTTGCAAGCAAGGACCTGAATTCAATCCCCCCCCATACAAAACAAACAAACAACAGCTGGGCATGGTGGCACACACCTGTAATCCCAGCACTTGGGAGGCAGAGGCAGGAGGATTTCAAGATCAGCCTGGGCTACGTAGTGAGTTCCAGGTCAGTCTCAACTACATAGTGAGACTCTGTCTCAAAAAACCAAAACAACAAAAACAAGTTCCAGTCCTGCCTGGGCAGCTTAACTAAAGGTGGGGGGACAGTTATTGGAATGTAGTTAAGTGCTTCCTAGCCCCCCAAAAAAGGAAAAAAAAATCAAATATAAGATAAATTGAATAATTTGGAGATTGCATGTAAGCAGTTTTATTACTTTTACTGTTAGCAGAAAACATTCACTGGATCTTGACTGTCCTCAGCTAATTCTTAAGTATTAAAATTACTGGGAGAAGAAAATACAAGTTTTCTACTTATTTAATATATCAAGTGTCTCTTGATTCCCAAAGATGATGCCTGCTAGTAATAAATAGATGGTTACTAAGCACTGAAAGAATGACTGGATTAACTGTGTTGTTCAATTTTAAGGTTAAAAACGCCAACCATGAAAGATCCAAGTCGCAGCAGTACTAGCCCAAGCATCATCAATGAAGATGTGATTATTAACGGTCATTCTCATGAAGATGACAATCCATTTGCAGAATACATGTGGATGGAAAATGAAGAGGAATTCAACAGACAAGTTAGTTTGGCGTACATGTATTTTTCATAGCCCATTACAGTTCTCAGTATGATTGTACTTGGTCCTAAAATGTATTTATCTGGTCCTTCATATGAAATGCTGTGTGTGGCTGTATATGCTACCATTTCCCTTTTATTTGGCTGCTGATTATTACCAAGCCCAACTCCTCATTGAAATTATCTAAGAAGCTTGTTCCAGGGTCCCACCCTAGAGATTCTGATTCAAGAGGACTAGGATTGAGCCTGGGAAGATTTTTGAAAAGCCCCCAGATGGTTCCCGTGAGCAATCAGGTTTGGAAACCACTGTATTACACCAGATTGTTGTATTACAATGCACATGAAGGGAATTCTGGAATTGGGAAGAGATGGACACAGGCACTAGGGTGCAGAGTTACGCTTTTTCATCTAAGTTCCTCAGTTTGATCAGTCTAAAAAATCTGGTACTATTCATTAGAGAACTGTCATACATTGATAAATGTTTTCTTTTATTTCTGTATTTTTGGCATCTTTTTCCCTCTTCCTTCTCATTCTTTCCTTGATGATAGTTTTGGTAATCAGTGGCCAGCTTGATATCTCCATATCCAGTAGCAGAAATTCTAGAGCAGTGTTGGTGAACCTATGGCACGCATGCCACAGCGGGCTGTTTGTATCATTGAAAGCTCTAAAAAGGGTTCACCATCACTGTTCTAGAGTAAAACAGTCCAATTCAGTGTTATTTCAGTGAGAATCAGTTGCTGTGGGGTTTTTTTGTTTTGTTTTTTTGTTTGTTTGTTTTTGGTACTGGGGATCAACCTCGGGTCCTTGTGCTTGTGAGGCAGGTGGTGGAACCACTGAGCTACATCTCTGGTCCCATGTTTCATTTTTTGTGTCAGTGCTGGAGATGGAGCCCAGCGCCTCATGAATGCTAGGATCAGTTGGAGTGGGGGGTTGTTTTGATAACTTGTGCCGTGACCCTCCTCCCAAGAGATTTTGTTTTAGAGTTTGAATGAGTTTGTACTTTAAGGTATCGCAGATAATTCTAATGTACATTCCTTAAAGAGAGCACTCATTCCTTTCATTCTCTTCCTGCCATCCTCAGTGGAAAAAAAAATTCTAATACAAAGTAAAGATACAGAAAAACCCTAAATAGATCTTCTTGGGTCTTTATAGTAAGCTGGAGTGTGGTGGATTTTTGGGGAGGTGGGGGTTTAGTTTTTTTTGAGACAGGGTCTCACTATGTGCTCCAGGCTGGCCTTGAACTCATGAATGTAGCCCAGGCTGGCTTCGAACTTGTGGCTGTCCTGCTGCTGCCTTAGCTTCCCGAGTGCTGGGATTACAGCATGCACCGTGCTTGGCTAGGACACTTTATTTTTTTAAATAACAAAACATTTACTGGTACATTTTAAGTATATATAATGATAACATCATAGAGAATTTGTACCTATATATGATACATCCCTCCTCTTTTTTTCCCCATTCCCCTCAAGCCCCCTCCCCTCCCTATGTACAAAAGCTTTGTTTCCATTTTTTCCTTCTATTTTTACTTTTTTGTACCAGGGACCAAACTCAAGACCTTACACTTGTAAGGCAGGTAGCAGCACCACTGAGCTAAATCCCCAGCCCTTTACTTTTTTTCTTGTCCCTTTTTTCCTTTTTTCCTCCTTCTTCCCTTGTTTCCCCCGCTTCCTATTTGAATATTTTCTTCCCACTTCCCAGTATCTATTATACTTTTTTTTGTTGGGGGGTACCAGGGATTGAATTTGGGTCCTTGCGCTTGCAAGGCAGGCCACCGAACCGCTGAGCTAAATCCCCAGCCCTCTATTATACATTTTAGTTCTTATTTCCACTTTTGATTTCTCACACCAATGACACTTTTTATTTGTAGAAAATTTTTTTGTGTGCCAGGGATTAAACCCAGAAACTGCATGCTAAGCATGTGCTGTACTACTGAGCTGTACCCCCAGCCCCAACATTTTGGTTTTAAATGGGTTATTTTCAGCCTCTCCTAGTGATGTTACTAAGGATGCTATAAATTATCTTTTATTTACTATAAATTTAGATAGAAGAGGAGTTGTGGGAAGAAGAATTTATTGAACGCTGCTTTCAAGAAATGCTGGAAGAGGAAGAAGAACATGAGTGGTTTATTCCAGCTCGAGATCTCCCACAAACTATGGACCAACTCCAAGACCAATTTAATGACCTTGTTATCAGTGATGGCTCTTCTCTGGAAGATCTTGTGGTAAAAGTTTATTTTTCATCTTTTTAGACCTTAGCTCATCTTTCCTATAGGTGGAAAAGCCAGCTACCATCTATATAAGAAGAGTTCTGCATCTCTTCCCCTTCCAAAATTATGCTACTTACTACAGTGGAAGCAGGGGCCTCCAGTTCTAATGACATGGAGTGACTTCTGGCAACACCATGGAGTCTTAGATCACTAACAGACTTGCCTCTGCTTTCAGCCATCATACTACCTTTTAGACATCATGTTGACCTAGGGTACTTAATCTTAAAAGAATCCAGAAGGATGCACAGTATTATCGTATGATTTATTTGTATGAAAGTAACTTGCTCTTTAATCTTGACCTAAGTATTTGGTAAAATTTAAAAAATTTTCTGTTTGCTTTGTGTTTTGTTTTTTGAGACAAGAACTCAACTATATAGTTCAAGCTGGCCTTGAATTCACTGTGTCTCCCACTCTTGTCTCAGACTTGGAGCATTCTACCTGCTTTAGCCTCCCAAGTGCACCACCCTGCTAGGCTTGTTTTGTTATTGGGGTCTTAGAGATTGAACTTACTAGGTTTCACTAAGGTGCTTAGGCCAGCCTTGAAGTTTGGATCATTCTGCCTCAGCCTCTCATGTAATTCCATGCCTGGAATTACAGGCATGCACCACCATGCTTGGCCCAAAATTTAATCTAAAAGGTAAAATTATGAAGATCATCTCTTGACCTAGGGTTTTTGTTGAGGTATCCAGTTCATTTGGAATGGTGATAAATAAGAAATTTCACAAGCTCATGGCAAAAAAGGAACACAAACATAGATTTGCATTTTTAGTTATTGTCTTGTCTCATCACTGATGATATATGCAGCCAAAAGTTTTTTTGAGGGCCGGGGATTTAGCTCAGTGGTTCTACTGCCTGCCTTCTAAGCACAAGGTCCCGAATTCAATCCCCAGTACCAAAAGAAAAAGTTATTTTTCAGGAACTATGATAACTGAACATCAACACTAAAGTTGAATCCTTACTAAAATTAAGATAAAAGACTCTTTGGCTGGGTGTGGTGATATTTACCTATAATCCCACACTCTGGAAGCTGAGGCAGGAGGTTCACAGGTTTGAGGCCAGCTACATGGTTAGTTTAAGTCCAGTTTGTACTTTAATAGAAAGACCCTAATCTCAAAACTAAGTTATTTTGACCAGGCATGATTGTGCACACTTATAATCCCAACTACTTTGGAGGCTGAGGCAGGAGGATCATTCACATAAATAATCCTTCATTGCCTCTACCAAATAACTCTTAAGATTTAGTCATTGGACTCCATGCAGTGTTTTGTTGCATGTGTGGTTTATTTGTTGTAATTGTCTTTTGCTAACTGCATTAATTTCCTAATCTGTATATCTTTTTTTTGAGACAGGGTCTCACTCTAGTTGAGACTGACCTGGAACTCAGTATGTATGTAGCCCAGGCTGGTCTCAAACTCACAGAGATCCTCCTGCCTCAGTCTCCTGAGTGCTGGGATCACAGGCATGTGCCACTAAGCCCGGCTATCTAATCTGTGTATCTTAACTACCTATGAAGCATTGCAAACAAAAATCAGTTCCTCAACTACATTCTAGACTTGGAGACTCAGTCTTTTATGCATTTTTTAAAAATACTGCAGACGATTTATTACACAGCTGTCTGTTCATTAGGCATTAGGAAACTTCTTCTGAAGGACTGTATGAAAAACACTGAGATTTACCTCATGGTATAGTAGTATAGCCTTTGTTACAGTAAATGATTTAACTCATTTGAGCAGATAGATAATCTTGAAGATCTAGTCAGGGATTTAGTTCAGTAGCACCATACTTGCCTCACAAGCACAAGGTGTCCTGAGTTTGATCCTCTGTACCAAAAAAGAAGAGTCTTGAAACCATGCTTGCTTGTGGCTATTTTAGTCATATCATGCTCTGATGAGTAAAGCTTCTTGCTAGGCTAAATGTACAGTATAATTTGATTGGTTGGTTGATTGATTTTTTTTTGAGATAGGGTCATGCTATGTAGTTCAGGCTAGCCTTGAACTTGTGGCAATCCTCCTGCCTCAGCTTCCTGGGTGCTGGGATTATAGGTATGCATCACCATGCCTGGTTTGTGCAGTATAATTTTAATCTGAACCCAATATTAATCCGTAAATTAGAAACTGGTTTGTTCTGTTTGGGATTAATTTGTTCTTCTATAACTGCCATAAGATTGTACATTTAAGAATACTGCTTTTTAAACTATACACTTTTGACTTTTTTTTTGTGTGTATATGTGATGCTACAGATTAAAACCAGGGTCTCAAGCATGCCAACCAGATGCTCTTACCACTAAACTACATATCTAGCTGTAAACTGTACACTTGGCGAACATATTTCCCATGGAGAAAGAGACTAGATCTTGTCCAAGGAAATTGTTATGTATAAGTTATGAAACTAAGATTAAATTATTGCTCCAATATGTTGTTTAATATTATTTTTCTCCTCAAGTAAGTGACATAGGGGTCCAATGCAGTGTGAAAGCCTACCAGCGTGCCTGCATTTTGCCCTAAGAATCTGTTCCCATTTTCTTTTTGGTTTTTTTGAAACAGGGTCTCACTATGTAATTCAGGCTGGCCTTGAACTCACTTTGAAACCCAGGCTGGCTTCGAACTCATGGCAGTCCTACTGCCTCAGCCTCCCAGGTGTAGGATTGCAGGCATACGCCACCATGCCTAACTCTCATTTTCTTTTGATCATTGCTCTCCAAAATGCAATAGAGAAGTTCCAGCTGTTCTTCCTATGCACTGATGTGTCAACATAGGAAAGTAAAGATTTAGAAACTTAGAATAATGTTGGTAGAAGTCTCTACAGTAGCTCCTAGAGACTCTCCCTTTTGTTCAAATTGTTGCAAAAATGGAGTCTTGGGCCAGGGATTTAGCTCAGTGGCACAGGTCCTGAGTTCTATCCCCAGTACCCCATCAAAAAAAAATAGTCTTGGTGATTTATCCTTGCACACCCAGATGTTAGATAGGGGCAAAGCTGAGATTTTGGACTTAGATGTTCTGGCTCCCCACGTAGTTTTCTTTTCCTGTTATATATCATGCTTCCTGTGGGAATTAGAAAACAGCAGTTGTAGCAAAATAATTTCCATGTTTTCAATAAGAATCATGAAGTAAAATTAATCCATCAGTGATCCCCATTTACTTTAGTCACACTTTCAACACTCATTTAGCATGTTTGCATGATATGAAAATGTTTTAAGTGAAGGATCGTTGTTAAACTAACAATTCCTTTAGTTTATGTGAAGTTGGTGGGTATCTGGTTATACTTCAGCACACTTAATTTGAATTTCTAGTTTCTCTTTAGAAAGTTGATAAAATTTTATATAATACAATATTTAGCTTATATCTGGGTCCTCCTTTCCTTGCCATAAATATTTTTGGGTGAAGTGTAATGTGAGCTTTTGCTTTCATTTTGTATATTTTAAGAAGGTATTTTTGCATGTGGATCTAGGCTGAATGCTTCTGAGTATCTGAAGCCATTTGTAATGAACTTGATTTTTTTTTTTTTTTTTTTTTTTTTTTTTTTTTTTTTT